AAATCAGGTTTTTACTTTATTTAATCAAAAATTAGGTTTTAATTTCACAATTAATATTATTAATGATATTTTAAATTAAATTAATCTATATACCTACACCTATCCCCCAAATTTCAATCTACTTCCCAAACCCTACTCCTCCCTTCCGTCTATTTCTCTCTGTTCCATCTCTTTTCTGCCACCCTACTCCACCATTCTCTCCCCTCCCTCCCGTCTCCACCTAATTCACAACAGCGTCAACGCTGTTGTCGACGTCACGTCGCGTTGTGTCGCGACACTGCTGTGACGCGACGCCAGCGGCGCAGCAGCGTCGCGTCTGATTGTTGGCTGCTGCAACTGCTGGCAACAGAGTCACGTCCGATTGTTGGCTGCTACGACTCTGTTGGAACGCTGGCAGCAGCGTTGCGTTCGATTGTTGGCTGCTGCGACGCTGTGGGAACGCTGGTAGCACCGTCGCATTCGAAATGTTGGGTGGGTATGTGGGTGTTTCGCTCAGCGGTGGATTTTTGGGATTTTTGATGGGCTGTGATGGTGTAGCAGCCGTGTCTTTCTCTCTCTATTGTTGTATTTTGCATTCCCTCCATTCCATTGTTGTGATCTGGTGGCAGGTTGGGGTTTTTTTGTTAGGTGGTGCGTGTGGCGCGGAGATCTGTGTTGTCGGCGGCGATAGGGTGGCCGGTGGATCTGGTGGAAACCGTCGCGAAGATGGGGTCTTGTTTTTGGAAAATGTCGCAAATCTGGGGTTGTGGAGGTGGTGGATCTGTGGTGGCGATCATTTTTTGTTATTGTTGTGGTGAGTCAACAGTGGTGGTGTTTCTTTTTGGTGTTTGTGACCTAACTATTGAATTGTGACTTTAAAATTGATAATTTGTAACTAAAAAAAGAATCTGTGACCAACAATTTTGAAAATACGTGACCTGTGACATATAATTTTTTTTGATATGTGACCTATAAAATTTTAGATTTGTGATCGATAAAAAAATTGTGACCTAAAAATTTTAGATCTGTAACCTCGAAATAATCCATGACCTACAAAATTTTTGATCTGTGACCGGAGAACAGTCGCCGATCACCGGAGTAGTTGCAGGAGCAGTAGGGGAGGTGGGGTGGGGTGGTTAATTATATTATATTACAGTTAAATATTTAATATAATATAATAATTGTGAAATATAAT